CAACATTATAAGGCTCAATCTAGGCTTAGATCACTAAGGACACAAGAACCATGCATGAAACAATTCAAAAACAAGTTCAAGAGGGCAATTACTCTACCTTAGGTCTTGTATTCATCCCAAATTTTCAAAAATTCAAAGTTTTTGGAAAAAATCACAACAAAAATTCGAGGATACTAGAGAATTCAAACTAACAAGCTATACCACATCAAATATGAAAGTGAGCCAGAACTGCTCCAAAAATGGCATCCAGTTTACCACAATGCATTGTTTAATGAATTCAAGGACGACAACTTGTACATTATGCAATCACTCAAGGATGACAACTTGTACATTATGCAATCACTCATTTAGTTTAACACAATGTTCGTGTGTAGTTTATTTTCTACAATCACTTGTGTAGTTTATTTTCAAAATTGAGCCTAAAAGTAGGTCCAAAAGCCCTACAAGGAAGGAGTGCAAGGGGAGGATCCCAATTCCCAATAAATTGCCCAAATGGCCGTCCATGCAAAAGCTAGGCCTACACTGTCCCACCATACCTGTCATGGATTTGTAATTATTATAAATGAGATTAAGAGAATGAAGTGATTATTATAGGATGTCAACTGTAAAACATATAAAATTAAAATTTTCATTTTAATTGTTTCGGTTTTGTTAGGACTTCTTTTTGCAATACCTTTGTGCATTCTAATAAGCTTTTAAGATTGTATAAAATGTTCTATTTTCACGTCATTTGTTTGGCATTTATTTTTACTGATTAATCAATAATTTTACTTGTGTAATGTTACTTTGAAAAATTTTAAGTCACTATCCTCGAGTTTGCTTGCCTATACAAATGTCGAGGGGCATTTTAGCAAACTAATTGGAGCATCTACATTTAATATTACATATATATATATATACGATTATTTCACAAATCATCGTGTGACAGTTATTATTTAATTAAAAAAAATATTTAAAAGCTCTAAACTATGAGCTCTAAAAAGCTCTAAAGGATGGACTCTACTCATTGATGTACTGTTTTGGCTTTAAAATTTTTTTTGTTTTTTCTTTTTCAAATTTCCACCTCATTAGTGCTCAATTAAAACTCCAAAATTAGAGGAATAAATCATTGTTGTTAATAAAATTAGTTTTCAATTTCAAAAGGTCATCATGTGACCGTTGTTGTAGGATTCATTGTCATAAGGGATCCAAGCAGTTTTTTACGTGTTTACTGTCGGTTACCTAACACACGACTTTCCTCCTTAACTTGGGCTTGGGACTAGCGAAATTGTTAACAATTCTGGCGGAGACCGTTGCTATATAATGAAATTGGTTCCCAAGATTAAAGATCCAATCCCTAATCAAAAGCCAAAAAACATCAAACCAAATCAACCATAAACTTCGATAACATAAAACATATTTGGTAATTAAACATTGATTGGTAGACAAAACCCCAGATAGAAAGCACCAAAAAACCCTGAACATAGATCTTATGGTTTACGGAAGTTATACATCTTACCCTTGTATAAGTATATATTGACAGCATGGCCTTAAAGATTTTAATAAACACGACTCTTGCTTTTACTATGTTCCTTCCCTGATGATGATTTTCCTTTGACACATGATCTAACCAATTCCTTCAAACCACCCTTCTTCTGCTTCTTCTTCTTTACTTTCTGCTCTGTTATTGATGCCATCTCTTCTGTCTTCTTCTCACCCTCTATTATCTCTCCTTCTAACAGCAAACACAACTGATTCACAACACAAGACACACCATCACAATATCAAGTCTTTATATCATCACCCCATAACATATACCAATATATATATATGGTGCAAATCATTAGAGAACAAATGAATTTAACCCTAAAAAACACTACAACAAAAATTAAATGAAATATTTTTATTTCAAAAATATCATCATTGTATTTTTAACGACAAAATTAAACATAATAAATTATTATTTTTTAGGATTAAATTATTTTGTTCAATGATATTTTTTAAATTTTGTCGTTAAAAATCCCTAAAACAATTTGTTAAGAGTGAAATATGTCCCACTTACTTGAATGATTGATTAATTCTAAAATAAATTATATGTAAGATAATAAAATAGAACATAATCCAACTAGAATGGTTGAATTGACACTACAAAAAATTAAGATTTTAGAGATCAAAATTTATGGACAAAATTATTTTTTAGGGACTAAAGATTTTTGTTGCGAGAAGTGTCGTTATTATACTCTTAGCAACGAAAATTGGACATTAGTGATGAATTATTAACTTTTTGTAATAAAATTTTTTGTCTCAAAAAATAAATCATTTTTAACTAAATTATTTTGTCCCTAAAAGTGTATTTATTAGTGGCATTTTTAAAATTTTGTTACTAAAAGCCTTCTTTTTGACTTTTCGGGACAATCTTTTAGCGACTATCCTCACGACGATAGAAATTGGTCCCTAAATGTTTTTTACAACAAAATTTTCACTTTTAGAGATCAAAAAATTTAGTCTCTAAAACTCTTATATGTTGTAGTGTGGGGTCCCAAGTAAATTTTTTTTTTTTTTAAATGGAGAGCCACATTGAATGAAAAAAAATTGAGGGCCAACAATTGAACATTTGAATTCTATATCCAAAATAATAATTCATTTTTTTTTTTTTAGAAAAAAAAAAAGGAAGAAGAAGAAGAAGAATTATACCATATAATAATAAGGATTATTTTTGGGTATTGGTAAGTGTACCTTCAAGACTCGGAGCTCTACATGGACTAGCCTCTCAAGGAGGGTACCCTTGAGCTCGGTTTCGACGATGACGTCGTCGATCGGACGGCAGTGCTTCTCTAAGCTTTGAGGAGAGAATTCATCGATGGAAGATCCATGGCGGTCACTTGTTAGAGTCCCAGTGGATGATGTATATGAGCTCCTTGGTGATCTGTTGTTGCTGCTGCTTCTTCCTTCTTCCAAATGCTTCAACTGAACATTTCATCATCCATGTCACATAAATTTAAAATCAACTAAATACTCATACCAAAGTGGAGCTATTTATTTATATATATTACAGATAAGGATAAGGATTTATTTATAGTTGATTGATACTTACGATTTTGTCAAGACGGTCGAGTCTGGAGAGGATTGGTTCTTCTACAACAGTCATTTTTCTGCCACTACTTTCGCGGGAGAGAAAATTATTGTAAATATATTTTCGCGGGAAACAAACGGAAAATTTTCTTCTTTTGCTCCTTTGTAAATGAGTTCATTACCGTTTGGGGCTGAGGGGATATAAATATAAAGATTAAGACAGGGATATACTGGAATTAATTTCATGATGACACGTGTCCAGCAACACAGAAAGAGAGGTGTCTTTGTGTGAGTAAATTTGGACGCGTGGCAAGTGGGTTGATGTCGCTTGTGAACGGTGCTGGTTTATCTGATGATTGGACACGTCTTCCTTGTTAGAACTTCCATGAAGATAATAAAAATTGAAAACAGGAAACTTTCTTTTCTAGGCCAATCCTCAGAAAATTATCACTTTACTTGTTTTTTATTTTTCAAAAATACTTTTCAAAAAATTCTTCTTTCTTCTTTTTCGTATTTTTTGTTTTTATTGAATTTTTAAAAATATTTTAAGTAATTTTTTTAATTTTTAGACACACTTAACATAAATACACATAAAAAGTAAAATTTTTGTGAAAAAAATCTTTTAAAAATTCACTAAATACAAAAAAAAAAAATGAAAATTCAGTATATTTTTTTCCATTTTTATGAATTTATTAATTTTTTAAAATATTTTTTCGTAATTTTTTTACTTTTTAGATATATCTAAATAAATTTAAAAAAAATTAAAAAAATGCTTAAAATTATAAAAAAATATTCACAAAAAAAAAAAATTCAATTTTTTAAAAACTTAATCTAAAAAACTCAAACCAAACATATTGATTAGATTTGGGCAAACAATAAATTATACAATAATCTTTGGGAGCTCTAATAGAACTCTAATGATGTGAAAAGTGTCCATGTGATATGGGGACCCACACTTCTCTCTTTATTTCTCTACTCTCTCTCTTTTATCTTATTAGAGTTCCCATTAGAGCATCTTCAACGGTGAACCTTTTTTTTCATCAAATCTGATGAAAAAAAGGGTGATTTTCTCAATTTGGTATTATCTCCTCCAACGGTTGCATCAAAATAATATTGGCTGGGGACAATCGGTGGGACGACCGGTCGGTCGACCGGTAAGGTGAAGAATTTTTTTTTTTAACCTGTTTGAACCTTTTGGACCCTGTTTGAACCTACTTATTTAAAAGGAGCCGGTCGACTAGTGGGTTAACTGGCCGGTCGACCGGTGGCCCCACCTCCGACGTTCTTGCACAGTAAAATGGTGAAACCTTATGCGTATTCTCAGTTTGATGAAATTTTTACTTCATTCTCAGTTTGATATCAGTTTGGTGAAACCATTAGAGAGTGAAAAGGTGTTTTTTTTATTAAATTCAAATTTGATGCTGAGTCTGATGCAACGTTGGAAATGGTCTTAGAGCTATTATTTTAGAGTTATATATGATTACTCTAAATTATAGTCTGTTGATGCAAAATTGACTGGTGCTTCAAATTTCAATTTTATTACTAATTAACATAGTTGGATAGGGAGATACTTGTAGAAACATAAATGATATAAAATAATATTCCAATACCTCATACAATTGTAAATTATTTTTTATGAGATTAAATAGGATTTGATTATTAATATGATTGTAAAGAATAATAAATTATAATATCAGATAATAGATGGGATAAATAGTTAAATAAAAAAAGTAAAATATTATCAAAATTACGGGACTTACTATATTTTTTTTAAACCACAAGCAAAGTAAGTGTAATTTACCCAACTTGAACGTTTTTGTGGGTATCACTAAGGCTTAGCAAAGAAATCAAAAAAATCCACCAATTGAACCGGTTTTTTTTTTTTTTTTTTTTTTTTTTTTTTTTTTTTTTTGGTTAAAGAAAAAAATCATGAATTGGTCCTGATTTGAAAATTTGAGAAAATTGGTCTTTGCGGATTGATTTTGGATTTAGGTTTATGGTTCCGAATTTGAACCGAAAATGATCGTATAACTTAAATCATATATTATGTTTGTTTAAGTTAATGATGGAATAATATAAATCTTTATGTTTTGAAAGTTTATGTTTCATAAAATCATGACAAATTAGTGTTGAACAATGTTTACTTAATGTTATGTTTTGCTTAACTGGTGAAATATTATGAGAATAATTTGTTTGATGGGCATGTTATTATTATTTTTATAATTTATGATCGGTTGAATTTAAAAAAAAAAATATTATATAAATTTTTTTATGAATAAATTATGTAAAATTGTAATTCCAAGTCCAATCAAACCATGTTTAAATAGTTTGGTTCGGATTAATTCCATAATTTTAATGATTGGATTTGATTTTAATTTTTATGAAATTGTAAATAATAAATTGATTCTAATTTCATTCCAAACTTATCCAAATCGGACCATGCTTACCCTTACCCTTAGATATCACAATAAGACCTACAAGCCTCATATTTTTTTTTCCAACCGATAGAGTACATATTGTTGATGACTACATATTGCTTTAGTTTTTCACTTTGGTTATTGAAATTTTCTTCTTCCCACAATGATTCTTCATATTTTAATTTTTTTTCATTTTACTTCTAAAATTAATTTTTTTCAAAATTAAATAGAAAATATTTACTGTATGAGTGAATTTCTGATCACACTGCCAACTTAGTATTCAGCTGGAGAGCACTGGCAGAATAGATGGCACCTGATTGACTTGCAACAGAAAAAAGAGATTCCGGCGGTGGTTCGTCTACCCGGGGGCACTCCGATGATCAAGTCAGTTATCTCTCAAAGATAAACCAAGAGCTTAACTCACTATTCGGATTATAAATTGCGTACCTTAGACCCCTGGGGGTGCCTCTCTTTTATAGTTAACTCAATCCTAGTCCCAATAGAAGCCTTGCTTCAATGGACTTTAGCTCAGTGCTTATCCTGGACTCTTCAATAGATAAAGATAAACTTCCTAAGAGCTTTATCCTTATCCAGGCTGAAGTCCTTCCTCATTCTAGGACTCTTGTCCGTTATCCGCTTATCCCAGATTCCGATATCTTCGGAGATAACCTCGGCCTAGCTGGGATCACCTCGGCATCACGACCAGGACACGTGGCATTTCGGCTGACACGTCGGTGTCACCTTAGCCACGTGTTGGTACTCAGAAAATATATCCCCACAACTGCCCCCTAGGTTCTATTACCTCGACATCCTGAGGTGATGGAACCTATATCGTCATACCGGATTTCATGTCGGCTATCTTGCTCTATCATTCATTATCGTGGTCATAATACGTCGGCTTCACACGACCAGGACCTGTAGTCTGTCTCATCAAGGCTTTAGAATCAATAACCTAGTTTGTTCAAGTCTATTCAGCCGAGATTACCCTTCTTGCCGAGGTATTATCTTCGTTAAATCTAGAACTTTAAGATGCCTATCACGCACATGAGCTGTCATGCACAACATTTCAATCGTTTCAGCCACACGTTTTTAACCCATTGGACCGTGTTTGATTCGTGCCATTAAATCGCTTCGTGCCTGCGTGCGCCGTCTAACAGATACGTCGTTCTAGGCTCATTTAATTACATTTTGCCGCCTCTTCGCGTTTTTTTGACAAAAACTCGTTCCCTCTCTCTTCGTCTCTTAACTTATCATCGTTTTTGTTCAAACTTTCTCTCTCTTTTACTTTCCCAAATCCTCCATTGTTCGAAGCTCTCAAGCTCTGCTACCTCCGCCGTTCACCTCCTCCGGCGAGGCTCTTGCTAATCTTTTCTGTTGCTGCAGTTTGTCTGACTTCGGCAAACTCAACTTCGGCTTCTTTTCTTCAGTGAGTTACTGTTTCTTCCAGATTTTAACTTTTTGTTTCAGTTTGTCTTGCTTTACTGAACTCCACTGTTCTGCCTCTGCAATCCTGCTCTTATCTTTGATATTTCAACTTGTATCTTGTTTTCCACCATATGTTTGTTTCATGAATCTATTTTTGCCCCATCTGTTTCTTGAATTCACATTGTTCACACTTTTGTTGATTTTTGCCACTGTTCTTGGCCTGACATACCTGTGCGAACTTTTGTCTTGTGTTTCTTGATGATCCATCACTGTTCTTGACTCTGAATTACTGCTTTTGTTTGTGTTTTCTGCATTTTCTCCAGATTCTTGCGTTCAATCTCCATTTGCTTAGAATTAGGTTTGGGATTTGCCCTAGAACACACGAATCTTAGGGAAAACTAGAATAAATCCCCCTTTAATCTTCACAAATTCTTACCCCAGCATGAACTTTAGGTCTTGCCGAGGTCTTTTGAGCCTTTTCAGAACAATTTCCAATTTATACACCTTCCCCCTAAGCCTACGTCATGGGAATGTGGAAGCACAGGGTAGACACCCCGACCAAATTAGAGCACTTTAGGCAGGAGTTTGACATCTCGGCCGACGTTCATCTAAGGTTGGCAGGGGAGGATGACTCCATCATGCCTACAACAGGTTCTATGCATTTCCCTGTTGTAGCCTTTATCGAGTGTGGACTTAGGCTCCCACTCAACATCCTTTTTCGAGAAGTCCTCCATTACTATAAGTTGAACCCGATGCAGCTCGCCATTAATTCCTATCGAGTCATCAATGGCATAATAGTCTTAGCCCGATAAGAGAATGCTAGGGTTACCTTAGTTGACATTCAATACTGTTATACTATGTGCGGCCTTTCACTGAAAGAGAAAGGTTTTATTTACTACCTCAAGCCGAGGTCCACAGAGTATAAAATCGTGGCCGACCTCCCAGACTCCAACAAGGGAGCTGGGGATGATTACTTCATTACCTCGGGGAACTGAGAGTTCGCTCCAGATGAGGACCTCCACCTCTACCCTCTTCCTCGAACAGTTTTTGTAGAGGGTAATGGTAAGAGCCCAGTGTTTATATTTACTTGTTTTTTAAAGTCTTCAATACTTTGTTCTAATGCCTGTGCTATTCTTTTTGCAGTTCTCCATCAGGCACCAAAGGGCTTTCGCCAGTCTTTCTTCCCCAGCAAAGACTTGAAGAAGCTTTTGGATTTGCCAGTTCACAAGCGCAGAGCCCCTTTGGTACTCAACTTTATCCTAACATGCAAATCAGTACTCCCTGACGTTCCAAAGAAGAAGAAGAAGTGCCAATCTC